TTTGTGTGCATCTGCAAACAGCAACACATTTAAGGTATGAATGCCAAATAAGTTAGTTCTAAGTATTCTGAACAAAGTATCAAGCACCACAATCTCCTTAAATCAGTAATTCTAAAGTTGCATAATTTGTTTCAAATACTTATACGCAATTTTCATATTTATACTACAGATCTGCTGTAAAGGTAAGCAGACTGTTTATTATCCCTTAGGAAGGATCTGAAGTTGCCAACTAAGACAAACTACTTTGCATTATGCAACAATTATTTGGAATTTCCTCGGTACAAGTCTTGGTCAAATCTGTTCCTCATTTTTAAGAGTTATTTCTGATATACCATAAGGAAGACTAGTTTAAAAATGTCAAGAATCCTATGGAAATTTAACCATTCTGCCTGGCTTTACCTTATGAAGGCAGCCTAGGGTTTTTTTGACCTACTGATCCTGATCCAAAACTCACCAAACCACAGAAGTGAGATCAGCTACAAGAGAGATTAGTCTTTAAGATGCACATCAGGATTTTCTTTTGTATCACCTAGAAGAGAAATATTTGCTAACTAAAGTTTACAGAAATATACGGAAAGTGAAAGAGCTATATGCTAATATGTCAATAGAGTAAGTTGTTACATTGTCAGCTACAAGTATTACCTGCAAAGCACAAGCAATAATAATAGCAACAAAGTACAGGATCCCTCCAAATTTGCTTCCTCTCTTTACTACCTTCTCTTCTATAAATATTTCTTACACAAAATTCATCTTCTTCCATTGAAGCCAACACTGTGAAGAAGACTTCTCAGAAGGGGATCTTAAAAGACAAGTAGATTTGTAACAGTTATCTGTGAAATACCACAGCACTTTAATAGTAATTTGCAGGCCTGTGAGCACAACAGTCATCTTCTTGTCTTTTATATAGCAAGTCTAACATCTTAACAATGAAATTCCCTGCATAAAATTCCACAGAAGTTTTAACACCCGAGAGATTTAGAAGTTGAGAACAAAGGATCGTCAATGGAATAGAATTAAACTCTTAGAATTGTGATTTGCATAAGCTTCTACTTGGAATATAAGCGACTGCTAAACCTCACTGAATTAACATTTCAAAACCACAAGTTGTAGCAGATACAGTATTATCCTCCTAGCAGTTGTTGTGTAACAAGTATCACAGAAAGATCAAAATTACTAGCAAGAGATGTCACTTTCAAAAGCCTCTCCTAATAAGAACATGAGATTTTAAACAAGAACTACTTGACAGTTTCAAGATTACTTTTTTTGTTGTTGTTGTTTTTTGCCACATCAATTACTCCCCAAGGAAAGCACTGGAGCAGAAACAGCAAGAGTAACTTAAACGAAACCTATTTCAGATTACAACCTTAGCAGCACCTAAACTAGCATCCTCATCTTTCAGAAAATAAACCAGACCTAAAAGCAACATCTACTGATCTGAGAGTTATCACCTTTCCACAAAGAATAACTTCAGAACTAACTCATGGGAGCAGCCACTTGAGATGCTCAGGGTAACATTACAAAACAAATCCAAAGAAATTGGAAAAGATACCCAACTCTTCAAGGTTTGAAAAACCCTAGGAAGTAGACAAAAGTCAAATCTACTATTTTCCTGACAAAATGCTGGCTTGGCAAGAAGTTGATACAATTCCACGGTATTTTGAAAGCACGTCCAAGCAAAATGTGCTTTACAGCAACAGCCACATGAATGAGGTTAGCAGCAACCAAGCCCAAACTGAGCTTTCTTTTCACATACAACACTGCCAGAGACAGCAAGCGCAATATGCACCTATGCACTAGTTGGTCTTTTATGTAAGCTTGAAGAGTAGCTTAATTTCAGTGGTTTAAGAAGCTCTAGTAAGAGCCCCATAGATAATTACCTACATTGTAGACAGCTAAATGCACAACCTTACCTCAAGTGACTAAATGTAGGTTAGATTGGAAAAATTAGCCCAACTCCAGTTTATCTTTGAACATTTTATGCCTCGTATGCATCAAAACTAAAGCACTTCATATCCATTTCAGAGCTCTGAATAAGAAATCATTTGAACATTATGAACAATATAAGTGACAATCCTATTCTGAAGTTTTCCAATTACTGCTTCTCATCTGTATTATTTTACCTGGCCTAAATTCAACCCCAATACCTAGTTTTAAGCCTCCCCCATTAAACATACCTCCTCTGTTCTCAGATTACAGCCTGACAAATACTGTAAATGCTGATATTGGGTGTACTTGGTGATACATATTTTTCAGTGTGTCAGACACAGTAACACTTTATTTTGATTGAATTTCATTTTAGGTAATGAACAATTAAGTCAACCAACATTAAGCTCATTGTGCATAATTCCCTACAAATTTAAAATAAGAAGTCATCCAAATATACAAATCACTGCCCATTTTGCTTTCTCACAGTAACTACAACAATTATAGAGATGGATATAGCGCAACTCCACTGAATCCCAAAACCTTTTATGATATAGTTTGAAGTTGAAAATAACTGAGTTTTTCACAATCAAATCACCCTCAGCCAACAGAATCTTACCTACAACCACCTAAAAGACAGAAAAAAATCAGTATCCAATCACCTAACTGAAAGGTTGTTTCTTGAGATACACTGTTATTTTTCAATAAAAATGTATGAATCAGTTCTGCTTCTAAAAAGAAAACAGACAATACGCCCACACAAGAATAAGAGCCAAAGGACTCACTCAGATGATGTTTAAGCTTAGGGAAGCATGTAATAGAAGACTGGGTTCTTTCCCTTCCCAGTAGCAATCAGTCTTTATTGGCCTGTCTTGTCTGTTCTTGCCTGTTCTACAGACCTACCATATTTTCGTTGCATATGCCTATTTGAGATGTAAGAATTTAGTGAGCACGTGCTGAGCATATGGGCAAGGTAATTCACTGCCCATTTCCACATGACTTAGAAGGAGGAGTCTGCTCCTCTTCCTATCAAAGGAGCTAGCACAAAACCTGGGGCTTGCTTCTTCCAATGGGCCCTGTTCCCATTTGTTATGTTGCAAAGCCCAGGGCCGTGAAAAAGGAAAGACAGATGAAATGTGAGTGATGCTGTCAGAACAATTCTTCAGAAAATCCACTCCCAGGAGTTCCACTGAAAAAAAAAAGAACCAATAGGAACAGGCCAAGAACTGGCTTAACTGAACTATCAAGCAACACTGGGCTACCAGACCACTGGCTGGGCAGCCTAACCTAAGCAAAAGAGCACAATTTTCCCTGTATACAGTTCCAGCTGGGTTAATGTTTTAAGAGCAATATACTCAACACAGTGATCCCACACTCTGTAAGAAAGTTCACACATTCAAAATTAAGTTCTCTCCCAAGACAAAAAGTTCAGAGTGGGTTTCTTTTCACAGTATTACTGCTATCTGCATAGCTGAGACATTCAGTTTTGTCAATCAGCATGGAAGGCAAGTTTTAACTACTGAATTTGTCAGTCAGAAAGTTTACCCCAATAGGCTGACAGACCTTCTCCCCTAGTAGAATCATCATATTTCAAGACTAGGAAAAAAAAAAATCTAATTCATCTTAGTAGAATTACACAGCTTATCAGGATATAAGAAAATGTATCTCTGCCTCTAGCAGTTCTGGCCAGAAGTTAACCACAGAATATGAGTAGTCCCAACAGTCACACTATCCTGTACCTAATTTTAGCCCACCTGCATATGTTCACCACCTTCCCAAAAAAACAGTACTAAACACTACTTAAGAGCCACGTGGACAGCAATGAAACCACTGCAAATGCTTAAGTCCTTGCTGCTACTGTCCTTTCTAAATGCTAAATCCTTTACTCCCTCCTGCAAAGAGCGCAAAACAGAATTAAGAACTTTTCTGATACTATAATGAATAACATTCGAAGGCGGGGGGGAGAAGAGAAAGAAACAGCCCACACTGCTATTTCTGCCCTGTAACATCTAGCAGATCCCAATCTAACAGTGGGATCACTCCTTACAAGGCACTGTATACATGCCCACACATGAGTATATAAACCCTCTACTATCCATACAAAGAAATATATATGCACATGCATAAACCCCACATGCCTTCAAGAAAAATTCAAGTCTCCAAGGACCTTCTAACACTCTCACATGCCAAAACAAGCTTTTTGCATCATTTTTCATTGCTCCTGATGAGAAATTAAGACAGCAATGGCATGATTTTTCTTTCTGATGTTAGAAACTCCACTGCCCATTTTGGAGCAGTCAATAATTGAATTAGCATGAATCTCCACCCTTAGGTGGTACGTTTCCATTTTCATATGCTTTGTGAATACAAAATGGTAGTTTCTAATTCCATTCTGAGAAGTTACTTTCACCTATTAAAGAAGCTCCCAAGTAATTCAAGATTTTAAAAAAAAAAAAGCTCTAAAGCACAGCAGTATTTCATGTATAAACACACTCTCCACTAAATTTAGAAAAAAGGACTTATTAGAAAACAACACACAATAGGTCCAGCAATCACTGCATCAAGTTTGCTACATTGTCTAACATCATCTCAACCTATTGTCCTTTTCAAGCCCCAGTACACATAGATGAAAACAACCCGCTTTATTACCAACTACAGTCAAACCTTAGCCCTGCAGGAATCCCAGATATCTAAGTGTGAATGATTACTTCTGTGAGATTAGCATAAAGTCATACCTCATCAATTCTCTATTAACCACAGATCTGCTATATTGAACAAAACACATAAAATTGCTTTATGAAGAAAACATGCTAGAAAACAAGGTATCAACAGATTACAGCATGGAATGCCAGGATTTGAGTTTATCCTCAAACGCCTTGCAACCTTATTATACTAGCTTGCAAGGTATGTATTTAAGGAAAGACAATTTCTCTGTGCTCCATTTTATATAGAAAGACTATACCAAGGTGGAACCCAGAACTGCTCAGTAAGGGACGTCTGGGAACACAAAGGTGAATTAACAGTTGTTTTAGCCAGCTGCAGAAAGAAACTGCTCTTACCCTTCATCTAATACTTACTGTTGGATCCCACATCCTCAGCTACTCCAGAACCTCTCATTCTCAGGTATGTGAATCCCAGTATCAGAAAGAACAAGCATGCAGCAGTTAAGAGGAACATGGACAGGTAATGTGCACTGAAGCCTCCAGTGGTGGACACCTCCTCTCTTTTGAACTGTTGGAGAAGCTCCTCCTCGGGCTCTGAGAGATTCTTCTTGTAGGTGTTTTTCAGGTAGGTATTATTTGAACCCGTATGATTGGAGTGGTTGAGTCTAAGGGAGGAGGAGGTTCCACCCGGGGGAAGGCTATTACTAGCTGAATAGATCCTGGATTCAACATTATAGCTACCAGGAACACCGCTGAGAACATGGTTATTGGTCGCTTTCCTAATGGTGCCTGGAGGGTCAGTGATTTTACTGCTGTCCACGTCCGTGAGCGGCGGTGGCAGCAACAATACTGTAGGGGATTTCTTAGACAGGCCAATGCGGTATCTGAGGCTGAGAGGACTGGAGTCCAGATTTTCACATCCTCCACCTCCTCCTCCCCCCGCCGCCGCCGCCTCCTCCTGATTTCTGCCCGCGTCTAGACTCCCGGCAGCAGCCGCCTCCGCCGCCGCCGCCCTGTCATTCGTTACGACTACACCAGCACCACAGCCTCCGCCAGCCCTTTCTTGGCCCGTCTCCATCACGCCAGCGCCGGCTGCAGCGCATTTGCTTGTTATGAATGGAGCAGGAGACTTGCTGAGGCTCCGTCTGGGCCGGCGAAGTGCAGACTCCTCCTTTGGTACCTGCTGCTTGGCCCTCGCCCCCGCCGCCGCCTCCTCCTCCTCCGAGTCCGAGTACTTGTCCCTGATGCCGCCGTAGGAGAGGAGCCGGTTCCCGTTCACGGCCCGGTTCTTCCACCGCCGCTGCTCGCTCTCCTCGTCCTCCTCCTCCTCCTCCTCTTCCTCGTCCTCCTCCCCTCCTTCCTCGTCGCCGTCTCCGGGCTTCCTCACGCCCTGAGCCGCCGCCGCTCTCCTGGCCGCCGCCCCCCACCAGGCGTTGGGCTTCCGCCGGGCCGCCTCCTCCGGGGGGGAGCTGTTACTCACGCCGCAGGCGCCGTGGGGGGCGGCGGGCCTCAGGCCGCGGAAGAGGGGTGAAGCCCGCTCCCTCCTGCTGCCGGCGCCGGCCTGGCTCCGGGGACTGGTTTCCACATCCGACTCGTCCGAGCTGAAGCCCAGCAGCACTTTGCCGCCCCCGGCAGAGGGTGCTGCGCGGATCCGGCCGCTCCCGGCGGCAGCCCCGGGGAGGTAGGGGTGCTCGGCGCCGACCAGCCGCGGTCCCACGGCCGGGGCCGCTCGCCCGCCGCCGCCGCCGCCCGCCGCCGCTCCGGCCCCCGTGTTATTGTTGTTGCTGTTCCGGGTCTTGTTGGCGCCGCCGCGGGCCCCAGCCCGCTCATCTTCGCGCAGCTTCTTCAGCTTCTTCAGGTAGACGGGCCGGGTGCTCTCGGTGACCGGCCCGGGGGAGAAGCCGAAGCGCCTCAGCTCCGAGAAGAGCTCCTCATCCGTGAGCTGCGCGGCCGCCGCCATTTTTCCGCTCGTTTCCCCCCCCACCCCCCCTCCCCTCAACCCGCCGCCGACCGCGGCGTTTCCTACCCACGCGCCGCACCGCGCCGCGCTCCCCGCCGGAACTGACGCGTGCGCACTCGGCTGTGGCCTAGACCTGCCTGTCACCCCGCGGGCGCCCCCCGCCGGAGCCGAGGCCGGGCGGGGGAAGGGGGAGGGGCCAGGCGGAGAAGGGGGCGTGGTCAGGTGGGGAAAGGGGGCGTGACTAGACGGCGCCGGCTGCCCCTTCCCCCCTCCACCGCCCAGTAACGGCTGGCGCGCGGCGCCGGGGCGGGGCTGGCGCCGGCAGTTCCTTCCCCTCACACACACACACACTCACACACACCTTCACCCCGCTCCGCCGCCGGGTTTGGGGCGGAGGGTTGGGGTTTTGAGGCAGCGATCAGGGGCGAGGAGGGAACTCCCACACACGCCCCGGAACGGGCGGCACGCCGTAGCGGTGTTTTCGGCGGTGGTACCCCGCGGGGGCAGCCGAGCCCGGAGGGGCGAGGGGCGGCTGCGGTTGGCGGCGGTCGCTGTGGGAGCTGGGAGGGCGGGTCGAGTCAGAAACGCGCAACTTTACGCCCCTCCTGCAGATAGACGCTAAAGCGGGCCGAGCGTCGCGTTATTTGGGGATCGGCTGCAGGGAGAAGTGTCTGGCCGAACATCAAACATCTTTTAGCGCCGTTTCCAGGTTACAAATTTAGCCTAGCCGCGGCCGAAGACGTGAAAAGGGCCCACACGTGCACTTTTCGTGGGCCCTTTCCCAGGGTGTGTGCTTGCTTCCACCAACGCGTTGGGTAAACTCTGCTCTTTCAGAAGTCTGGCGTTGGGACATCACAGCTGTGAGGAGACAAATGAAGTGTAATGGCGGGAATGCTGTGGGAAGCTGCATCCTCACTGCCAGTGGCAGAGCACCACCCTCATTGTTTGCAATTGCCTGTTGAGTCTCTGTCTGACTATATACAGAAATGTGTACTTGGCAAAATGATTGTGCCAGTATAAAGAGATGTCATACTGGCATTTTTCAGGGTGCACTGGCCTTTCTGGATTGGCCCTATGGCCACAGAACCTCATGTGGAGGCTTCAAATCTTCTGACCTGTGTGTCTATACATATCCACACCAAATGACAAAACCCAGGGCTTACCTACTGCTTATGACATTGTAAATGCAGGAAGCTGAGCTTCCATTTTGACCTAACTGACTGACCTTATAACACCATGTGCAGAAAGGGTCCAGAAACAAGATCCAACTGCAGGAACAGTTGTACATTCCCCCTCACAGTCTGCTGCAGTGAAGATACTGTGGATGTGCCCTGCTAATGTCAAAACTGAAGTTGCTAATCTTGTTATTGCAGAACATTTGCAGAGCAGGAGTTAAGGTAGCTGTGAGGCAGCTATGTGCTGAAAATCTAGCCAAGTCTACAGAGCTAGAAGAGTGACTTGAAGCAGTCTTTCCCGATAATGAATGGTGATGATGAACTCCTGTACCCCACCTTCCGTTTCTGACCAACTGCACCTAGGAATGCAGAACCCCTCCTATTGTTTGTCAAAGCTTCCTTTAACACAACGTTTCTGAGGCTGAGCAGCACTAGGTGAGGGTCTGTACTTCTGGTGCTCTCTACATGGCACCACTGAGCAGAGCCTCCTTGTTTCCCTGGCAGAGGAGCCATTTCACATAATGCAGTGTTGTGCATTGGAGCAGTGCACAGAACTCCAGCTGTAAGGAAGATTACACTCCATTGTACATTAAACCACAAACGTAAATGTACCTTCTCTAACCTATCTCCCAATCTATACTAGATAACTGATATCCCAAGTGCCATGAGAAATGCTTCCGACATTCTCTTCCTCCTCCTCAGTGAGAAGGAACCCACACCTTCCACCAGTTATTTGGGATGCATCTTTGAATATCACCACCACATTCAGCGCTTACCTCCAGCTGCCTGTGACGCTGGCCAAACCGAGAGCACTCAGTCCCAGACCAGGAACCATTCTGACAAGAGCACTTCTGGCTAGCGCCCGCTTGGACACCTTCCTTCTATTAGAAGAATGTATGCTGTCCAGCAAGAGGTGAAGATCCTGTCATCTTACCAATGCAACTCATATGTTCTGTCTGTTACAGAGAAGGCATGAGTTAGTTTATGAAGCTGTTTACTCAGCAGCAGGAGGGCAGTAAATACTATCAATTATTAACAATTGAATCATCTTCTGCAAAACTATGTAGATACATAGAACAGCTGACTGAAAAGTCTGCATATTCCAAGCCATGCTTTAAAATCTGTGTGCCAAAATATTTTGAAATGTTTCAAAAATATGTCTTCTGGTTGATACTGAAATAAGGATACTTCCACTACCAGTTAAAAATCTCCACATTTCTTTAATAGTATACATTAGTATCGATATCAATGCCTCATGAGTATCAATAACTCCAGGTAGTACATTTTAAAGTATATACTGAGGTAAATGTTGACTGCAGGGAGTGTGAAGACTGTTGTTCATCCGGGGGAAAAAAAATGGTGGTTGTATTTTAAATAAGACATTTTTGTTCATATTTTCCCTCTCATCCTTAAAGGACTGGTGTTCTCAGGAAAGTGCCAATTCTACCACTGGGTGAAAAGGTGTTCTTTTGGGAGTTAGCAACCATACTTGTGTCAACCTCGTTGGACTGGGTTTTGAAGTTGTATCTTAATATCTCTTTTACCTTTCTTTCCAAGTTTGTATGATGTTTATGCATTTTTGTAAGTTCTTAGAATCAGTGACAGTTGTCTTTCTAGGGTTAACACGTCTCTTACTGCAACTTCCTCTAGCAACTAATGTAACCCAGTCTCTATACAACTCGCCCTTGCATACCTGAAGCATTTAGAAATCATGAGTCACATCTAAAAGAAATATGATCCTCTTGTAAAACTCATAATATTGTAAATGCTAGTGTCTTCCTACTTACCTTTTGATTTTTGAGCGTTAAGGTATGCTCAAATCACAATCACATTCTCTTAGGAATGTGATGATAATGAATGTGAATGTTAGCGAAGAGTAGGAATGTGCTTTTCCTTTCCTCTGTAATAAAAGTAGAGATTGTCACACAGTCACAGAACTCCAGGATCTACTACAGCTACTCTTAAGACAGTATGCATAGTAAGAAATCACTCTTCACTATGAAAAAAACCTGTATTAATCTATTTTTAAACATATTTACTCTGGTTTATTCAGTTGTTTCAAATATTACATGATGAACATGAAATAACTTTCTGCTTAAAATACTTAATGGGCTTTTTACCAAGAAAACTGATTTCCAAATGGTACAGTTGTTGCCACCATGCCAGTTCTGTGTGAACAGACTCACTTGCACGTCCCTCTTTTAACTTATTTCTCCTCCTTATGACTTCCATGTGAGTTTTTGTAATGAGCGTGAATCTGTCTTTGTTAAAGTTAACAGTGGTGTAATGGTACTAATTCGTACCATTTGTTTACATGCTGACCATGCCATTCCGCATGTGAGTGTGTGTATTCCTGATACATCTTTTGCTGATAGGCTTTTCTTTCCTGAGGGCATCCTATTAACGTTCAAAAGGCTTATGCTGTCTCTTGCCTTTGCATTGCTGCTTATTTGTGGCTAAGATGCGGGCACCCACAAGGTATCTAATGCTCACACTTCCCATGTGGTGCTGGACTGCTTTCATATTGCAACAGCGTGAGCACAGTGTGCTAAATAGCCTACATCTCGCAAAGAGGCCATGTGTTTCCAGCTTACAGTTCTTGCCTAAGTGTCCCACAGTAGCTCCACTCCCACAAAATGTGTGATGACCTGCTATGACTGTGCAGTTCCTGTCACTGAAAATGAACCATCTCAGTTCATAAGTCTGAGACTTCATAAGGCAACAGAATCCCCTCCTGCAGCTCATACTTTGCCTCCTGTTTAACCTATACTGGTCTGTAGAATAGCTTGTTCTCAGTTGGGTGTTCATCCCTCATCACGTCATATAATTCCTGGCTCACTTGATTATGCCTGTATTCCTGGGCGCTGGCCTTTTTAATGGGACTGTTGGAGGCATTACTACTGACTATGTATGTTGAAAAGAAAATCCACAAAGCAGAACTCCAAATCCTTAAGACTTGCTTAAAAAAAAGTATTTATTTATTTTAAAAGGACAGTTTGTTTATGTATGAGCCTTTCGCTAAAATTTGCTTTATGTGTTCAGTTTGTTTCTCAGGAACCAGAATGGCTAGGTATATTCATTTTAAAACCCGAGCCCAAACTGTTGAACTCCCCAGGAGCTGAGTTTAAAGAAGAATGCCAGCTATCAAAAGGCAAGAGATTTCATTGCAAAGTGTGACAAAGAAATATGAAAAAAGAGCTAATAGGAAAAACAAAATCAATCAATCAAACAAACAACAATAGAGATAAGGGCAGTAGGAATAAAACAAATAATAGTGACTGAAAGCTGATGTTTATTATGGTAGTAAATTTTTACCTTCTAGCCTCTTTTTTGGGGGGGAAGCTAGAAGAAACATTGTAGTTACAGAGAAGCAGAAGTATTAAATCATAAATGCAGATGAATGATTGAGAGGTCCATCCTGGAGTTACTCAGAAAGAATGGATAAAACTCATAGGTAGGACAGTATCAAAATGTCACTCAGCTGTTGGTCCCTAAAACCTTTTTGTCCTGTTATGTCTCGGAATAATTTTTGCTAGAAGACTACTGCATGCTGTAACAGTTCTAAGTGGGTGACAAATCAGTTGTGTAATTCATTCTCAAAAGCATTGCAGTAGATTGCATCCAGAGTTTTTCGTCTGAGAAGGAAAAAGTGAAGCTAATCTTGGTAGTCCAGCAGAGTACTTTTTATATTGGTTCACTACTCCTAATGTACAGAAACTCTGGCTAGATAAAACACGTATTTGCCACCCAGAAGTGGTGGAGGTACTTCTACATATGTATAATACCCTACCAGCATAGTTATGGCCAAAAGTCATGAGGATACGCTGTTCTGGCTTTTGAGCATCTACTTTCCTATTATTAGCTATGCCTCGCAAATATTTTCAAGGCCTA